CGTGGTGCCAGGTCAAAATGGTCTGTCAGTCAGTCAACGTTTACCCCAGGCAGTGCCTGGCACCCACTACGTCTTTGGGGTCCCAAACTGTGACTGGCATTTAAGAACATGTTCTCTTTGCATGCACAGACATGCAGCCCAGGAAGATTACAATAAAGAAAAAAGTGTGAGGGTTTCTACGTAGCCACTTTGTTCTGGCCTGTGTAGCTTGAGGGAGAGGCCATTGCCCCACGGCAGCCCACCACTGATGCTTCTAGTCCCACCTCTGCTGGTGCCTGCTCCAGGGCCTAGAGGGAAGGGGGAGCAGGCCCCCCTTTTTCTTCCCTTTAACAGTGTAGGATGGCATCCCCTGGGGGAGTGTGACTGGGCTGTAAAAGGAGCTTTCAGCAACTGTGTGGTTGTCAGTGAAAAGGTGTGCGTGTGTGAATGGGGTAAACTGCAGCCCTGCTGGAAAAGGGCAGAGCTAAGGTGGCCTGGGTTGTTCGGGGAAGTGGTGTTACTGTGGTGACGGAAAAACACCTGTTGGCGTACGCGGCGTCTACACTAGGGCTCTGTTGTCCAGCTGTATCAGTAAAGTTGTGAAGCGCAGAGAAGGCCTTACGCTGGCTGCTGCAGACAAGGATTAGCCGTAAGCTCTCAAAGCGCAGCTACTATGAGGAAAACTATTCTCTTTCCTAAGCCACCAACCGTTCTTTTGCCAAACCTCCAGCGTGGTTATGGACCGGTGAAAAGGTCACAGCACATACAGTTTTCTCAGCCTTCCTAACAGCCAACCTTTGTCCGATACCATGGAAAGCAGAATAGCTTCCATGTGTGTATTCTTCACAACATGACCCGTTTACTCAGCACCACCACTCCATGGGGGATCTCACAGCATTCTCTGCGCTCCACTATACACAACAGATCTTCAGCTCCTTGGTCTGATGTCCTTCAGGGCATACTGCAAAGCCTATGCATCTCCCCAGAGGGAAGGCTAGAGTCAGGTAGGTGAGCGGTGGGGAAAGGCTGGGATGGAGTTAGGCTTCACTGTGGACATTGGTCTAATTTGTAACTTATCAGCACACCTGTCCTTGCAGCTAGAGCTCTCCTACTCAACGCAGCTCTCACCCGTGCCCATGGAGGCCACCTAAGCAGCCCTCCCCCGCCCACCCTCCTTTCTGCCTCCCTCGCTCATGAACACCTCCATGCGCTATCTGGAAGGCTACAATTTAGTCAAGGGTATTTTTAGTAAAAGTCATGGGCAGGTCATGGGCAATAAACAAAAATTCACGGCCCCGTGACCTGTCCATGACTTATACTATAAATACCCCTAACTAAACCTTGGGGAGGAGGGGCCGCTGCTGGGGGGTGCCCAGGGGCCAGTGGCACCAGCTGCCAGAAGCTGCTGGAACAGCGGCTGCTCCAGTCGCCTTGGGGACCACTGCTTGGTGGTACCAGTGCCAGCTGCCCAGAGCGGCTGGCCCTGGGGTCAGCCACACTGGCTGCTGCAGAAGTCACAGAGACCATGGAAAATCTTGGAATCCATGACTTCCGCAACCTCCATGACTGACACGGAGTCCTAGCTATCTGCAAAGACCCTCTGGCCTCTTTGCCGAGCCCTCTCCCTCACCTTGTTCCAGGCCCTCCTACCATTTCACCGTAACAATATGAGGGGGTGTTCACATGGTAAAAGGATCACCAAATCATCAGGACACGGATGCCCCTCAAGCAACCTCGAGACTTTCTCACTCATGTCTCCCCCTTTGCCCGTTTGTGACTGTTTCCTGTGCCATTGGTGATTTACATGTCACCACCTCGGGGTGGGGATTACACCTGTGTTTTTGTGAAACACCAACACACTGCTGGGTGCTCAGAAACTATGTCACAACAAACAGAGGATTCAATGAATTACTTAAGATGTCACCACTTTTGAGACGGGACCTTCACCGGGTCACCAGTGTATTATACACTTGTTGAGCCTCTCTCAGTTTGTCTTCCATGCCCAGTGGGGCAGCAGCTGCCTGTCTCTGTTTTGTACAGTGGCACGCATGGATGACAATCAGGAAATAACGACTAATATAAAAAGGGCAAGCGGCAGAGTAAACCTACATGAACAGTAAACAACACAGCAAAATTAGTGGAAAGTAAACTCAAATTCTAAAATTCTTCCAGTTATAATTGAGGGTGGTTTTGTAACACTGGCTGCTGGATCAGATTCCTGCCCCAGTCTGACACACAATGCAGTTTAGTGGATCAGGTCTTTTCAAGGGAGGACAAAATAAATTCAGATTTTATTTTCACTGCCACCAAATAACCTTTATTTGAAGGTGTTTTAATTTACAGTTGCTCCCTGGATGATGAAGACAGTTGTGTTGGACTCTATTCCCCCCTCAGTCCCCTGATATACTACTCCTCTTATTTTAAATAAAGCTGTCTGCACAAGGTGGCGGAGAAAACAGACAATTTTATTTAGAGTCTAATGCTAGTAATGGGCTAAATACAAATATAGAAAAATAGAAAAGGAAAACCAAATCAGGCTTGAAACAGAAGTTACTTGTAAAATCTTTACATACAGGAATTAAAACTCTAGTAGTATACTGAATTGTAAGTGATAAACACAACAAAACCATAGAGGTTCCTCTGCCCTTGTCTCTGCATTAGCACTGGCAATGCTATCCCTTGTCAAAGTTGTAGTTTGATGGATTATCCATTCCCAGGGACGGGCCCCTGAGCCTTTGACCTAAGCACTCGGCTGTCCACTCCACACACTAACCACATCAGAGTTCCATCCAGGCTACCGTAAAGCTCTGTTTTACTCTGAAAAGTGACTGTGTAAAATTGGCCTAGTGGAGGTTCCATGTTCATTGTGTCTCAATGACTCTCTATTAAATTTTCTTAGGTTAATGCTGCTTTCCTAAGGGCCAAAACTGTAAGATTCATAGACTCCAAGGCCAGAAGGGACAATTATGTGGACCTCCAGCAGAACAGAGGCAAGACAACTTTCCCAAAATAATTCCTAGACCAGATCTTCTAGAAAAAACATCCGGTCTTGATTTAAAATCGCCAGTGATGGAGAATCCACCATAACCCTTGGAAAATTGTTCCAATGGGTAATTACACTCATTGTTAAAAATTTGCCCCTTATTTCCAGTCTGAATTTGTCTAGCTTTAGCTTCCAGCCATTGGATCATGTTATCCCTTTCTCTGGTAGACTGAAGAACCCATTATTTAAAAAATACCTGTTCCCTATGTAGATACTTCTAGACTGTAAATAAGTTATCCCTTAACCTTCTCTTTGTTAAGATCAATAAATTGAGCTCCTTGAGTCTGTCACTATAAGGTATGTCTTCTGGTCATTTACTCATTCTTGTGACTCTGCTCTGAACCCGCTCCTATTTATCAACATCCTTCTTGAATTATGGACGCCAGAACTGGACACAGTAGTAAAACAGTGGTCTTACCAGTTCCAAATACAAAAATAAAATAACCTCTCTACTCCAGTTGGAGACTCCCGTTTATGCATCCCAGGATCGCATTAGCCCTTTTGGCCACAGTGTCGCACTGGGAGCTCATGTTCAGCTATTTATCCACCATGACCCCCAAACCCTTGTCAATCACTGCTTCCCAGGAGAGAGTCCCTCATATGTAAGAATGTTCTATGTTCTTTGTTCCTAGATACACATTTCTAACCATATTAAAATGTCTATTGTTTGCCTGCACCCAGCTTACCCAGGGATCCAGAGCACTCTGTACCAGTGACCTGTCCTCTTCATTATTTTCCACTCCCCCAACGTGTGTGTCATCTGCAAACTTCACTGATGATGATTTTGTTTTCTTCCAGGTCATTAATACAAATGTTAAATAGCATAGAGACAAGAACTGATCCTTGCAGGATGCTGCTAGAGACGCACCCATTCAATGATAATTCCCCATTTACAATTACATTTTGAGACCTATCAGTTAGCCAGCTTTTAAGCCATTTAACGTGCACTACATGTTCGTTTTATATTTTTCTTTAATCAAAATGTCATGTGGTACCAAATCAAATGCCTTACAGCTTGCTCTTGGACCTGAAAGTCAAGCCGGGTTCCTTCTGGTTCATGCGTCACCAACAAAAATATGAGTCTGACGACAAAACTCTACCTCAGCTACACCTAAGCAACTCCACTGAATTTCCTCAGGTGTTGTAAAACTTTTCAGAACTATTGAATGATGGGAGCCCCTGAAGACCCCATGAGCTCGTGTACATTCCATCTCTCTGCAGATACCTCCCTCCTGCTTCCCAGACCACCTCACCTGAGCTGAAGCTTCCATCTACCCACTGTCTTCCAGATCTAATTCAGCCCGCGCCTCCCACGTGGTTCTCTCCTTCCTGCTCCTCACCTCATAGACAATATGAATGTCAACACAGCAACATTCATTCCAAAATAACCTGTGGGTGAGGAACTCCACAAGCTTCCTAATTAACCCCTTGTAATAGTTAATTAGCTCCCACCCTAAAAAACAGGTGGGGCATTAGCCCTTGTTGAGACCAACAGAACAAAGCAAATGTGGTCGCTAGGCTCAACTGTGAGAGAAAAAATGAGCCAAAAACAAAATGTTCAAAGAGCAGAACCTGGTTTTCCTCCAGACTTTCTGGAAGCGACCTACACAGTGTAAGAGTAAGTTGTAACCTTTCAGGGAGAGCCTGGAGGTGAAAACCGGCTTATAAAGAGACAGACACTCACTTCTGCCTTCACTATGGAGACGCTAATCTCTCTCCAAAATATACTTCAGCTTTTAGACCAATATGTCAAATAAATCATCATGTAATCAAACCACCTCTCTCTACTCCGCACTTTATTGGGAGATATCTAAGAACACAACATCACACGTTGAGTGCAGTTAGGTGCCCTCAATGTTCCATTTAGACCACTCAATAACATGATGTTTTATATTTTTAACTTAAAGGATGACAGAATGCACACACACACGGCCACACATGCACACACACACTCTTAGGTGTAAATCGAACTCCTTACCTTGTGAAGAGAACTCAGACTGGGAAGCAAAGCGGCAAAGCTCTGATTCTGAATGCATCACATCATTGTTTGGCTTATCACATACATTCAAACTTTTCACAACTAAGTCTAAGTGATTCTCCCAGTCCTGGTCTGTCAGGTCTCCCTCAAGCCCCGGGGAAAGGGTGGGAGGCCTGTGCTCCAGGCACTCCTTTCCCTTTAGTGAAAAGTCACTAGAATTCAGGCCCCCAAAGGCGCCCCTGGAGCTCTCTTCTTCCCTAGATCTATGGACGTGCCGACTGGTTCTAGCACTGCTTTGGTTAAAACGCTGCCATCGCTTCTTGGGTGCTACATGGTTTACTACATCGTGAGACTCATCCCCCAGGGAGCTTTCGCTATTCAATTCCGAATCCAGCTCTAGGCCCTCACCATTTTCAGCAGAAGTGCAACTCTCAGTATTTTTATCAGGTTCAGGCCTCTTTCTGATACGATCTAAATTATCATCAGATGAACACGCAGAGTCTTCATCAGTGGAGTGTTCCATTAACTCAAGAGACTCTTTCCTTGCAGTTTCTTCTATTTCATTACCAATAAGACTAGTAACCAAGCCCTGCATATCCCTGCGTGGGAGGGATGCTTTCTCCGCTATATTACTGGAGACCTGATTTAGAGGCTTGCTCAGCCCTTCTAGTTTTAAATCCTTTCTGATTGATGTTGCATTATCTACTAGCTTGGATGACTGCTTAGATTGTGAACAGTTGTGTCTTGAGATGCACTTTGTGCCATTCGTACCAGAAAGAGCAGTATCCGTGGGCTCCCTTTTGTTAGTACTCCTCCCACTTATCTTGGCTGTAGCGCTGCACGAAAGAGAGGATTCACTGGCACCAGGTTTCTGACATGTTGCTTCCAGAACGCAATCCCCATTTTTTTCTAATTTGTAAGTGGATCCTTTTGCAGCCAAAGCCTTCAAGCCAGTTGCAGAATTACTTCCAGAGGAACTGCTCATGCCAGCATTTCGATACGGGACCATGTTCTGAGCTGACATCAGCTGCTGCTCTTTTGTCTTACTATCATGCATATCTTTCAACATCATTAGCAAGGTGCTGAATTTGTAGTCTGGCTCAATGGGCAAACGACTCTGCCCAGAGGCAGAAGAGAAGAGTAAGGGTGCTGTGGTCTTAGGTGCCCCATAGTCACTAGCTTCATCACCAAGGGACCTATAGGATAGCTCCTTCAGCTCTGAGAGGACATGCTTCACCACGGCAGTCTCTATTTCAGCAGAATCCCTGGCTCTCTCATGCACATTATTTAATGGTTCCTGACTATCAACTTTCCCACTTTTGGCAGGAGGACCAGTGAAACCTTTGGCGTCAGAAGAGCAGCAATTCATGCCACATTGCTCTTCTAGGAGAGGGGGTTCTGTCACAGCAGCACTCTCCTTGTGTTTGCTTCTTATACTTTTGAGCCGGGGCACTTTGATGTTTTTCAGGTGGAGATTCAGTTGATTTGTAATCCCAATGTGGGAGCTTTCCCGGCAAACACTCTGGCGTGTAAGGTCCTTATCTGAAAGGGAAAGATGGTCATTTCTTATAGCTGAAGTACACTCTAAAGCAATAACAGGCATCTCAGTGTCTGAGGTTGCTCCTTGGAGCTCCCCATCCACAGATTCAGCATCACTTCTGCCACCTGGAGGTCTGTGATCTCTAGATGACCTTTTCCTGGCTCTTCTGTTGCTGTTTTGTGAGAGATACATGGAACATTTACTGTTTCCCCTCATCCCTGTAGAGAATTCCTTCTCTTCTTTATCTGCAGAGTCACTGATCTCCAGGGCGCTGCAAGCTGCTTCAGAACTTTGGTCCCCGGTATCTAGATCACTAGTTCCATCATCTGAGAAGGAAGTCAGCGAATCGGACTCAGTTTGCTTTTTTTCAATAGCAGCGTCAGCTGTAGAATAGTGTACCTGTAATTTGGAACTGCAAAGAATGCCTACGGGGCTTTTCTGTTTCTCTGAAGAGCTGCTGGAAAGCAAATCCACTTTCAGCGTGTCCCGTAGGGAGTCACCATGAGGGGCCTGATACTCCTGTTTCAAGGTTGTCTTTTCAAAACGTCTTTCTCCAAAAGAAGAGAGCAAGTAGTTTTCCACGGCACCATTGGATGCTGTTAGGCTGTTTGCTATCCGGCAAAGTTCGTGTGATGCATGTTTATCTGGCAGGTCCCCAGCAATCATGTTTCTAACTATGTTCTCTGGTGCCTTTCCTCCAATTTCTCTCCTAGATGGTTCCAGTCTGGTGCGGCTCTTTTTTACTCTAGTCCTTTTCCTGCTGTCAGAGCTCTTTTTCACTTGTGATTTAGTGCATGACCTTCCCTTCTCCCTGGCTGAGTGTTTGGAGTCAAATGCCAATGATTTAAAACAGCCATTCAGCTGCCTGTCCGGTTCCATTACAGGGCCATTAGCGCAGGATTCCAACAGCACATCCTCACTGTTCAGCTTGCTGGGATTCTGACTACGCTTTTGATCCTCAGTCCCCTTGAGAAGGAATTCTTCCGCATGTCCAACACTGACTTCCCATTTCGCCATAAACCTCTGAGGAACCTGAATGTTTGAGAAAACACAAAGAGAGGTTACCATCAAATAAACATTTAGCAGAACCATAAAGTGAAACAACACAAGAGATCCAAGTGTATCTAGTGTATGCAAAATGCAGCAGCAGTCTCCAGACAGGAGTCCAGCACCTCATGGCTAACATGGCTCCTGGACAGCACATCCATGGAGCACAAATGCACAGGACTCCAACTGAACCCAACCGAAATCACTGCAGAACTGCTTGGATCACAATACTAGTAAATTAGTGTCCTGTGTGCTTTCCTAGTGCTATTGAAGCTTCTGTAATAGCAGCCCTATAGGGTTCTGTAATGTGTGTCATACCAACACTCTCAAGCCTGAATCATGTCCGACATCCTTCTTCCAGTAAAAGAGGGAGGCGTGCAATTCCCCCCCAACCTGTCACTACTGACAAAAGGGGTCCCTGACGGTACTGGCCTTCCTCAGGGACTGAATGCACTGGCCTCCCAGCATGCACCTAATGCAGCAACCTGGACAGCAGCTATCAGGAAGGAGAATCCGACACTGGCCCCCTGCGTGGCAGAGCAGAGCACAGACCACTGGGCCATCAGAGGGGCCTCAGCATGCATCTCTCTAAAACATGCCATAAAAAAAGCCCTGGTTTGCTCTGTCCTGACCCTTCTTGCTTCCATTTATTTCACACTACATTTCAACTTGTTCTCCCCACAGCATCCCCCTTCTCTGCCACCCCACGTACAAACCCACCGCTTTCACGGGGATTTACCTCACACAAACCCAGACACACTCTGCTGTTGCTTCTGCTTAGAAGGCTCCCACGATCCATACTGAGTTTTGTACCCTTCACACAAAAAGAGGTGCCCAGGGCACTGGATAGGCTTTTTAAAGAAGCCTGGCTTTCCATCAGGGTTTGTTGCTCTTAGCAACGACAAACTGTAGGTTTTCGTTACTACTCCTGAACCAAAATGAATCCCAGCTCAGGGGAGCCGTTTGATTTCCCACCACTTTTCTTTTAAAGGGTGATCCACAGAATCTCAGCTGACTAAAGAATGGCAAATAACCCAATGTCACAAGGCAGCCAGATGCTCTGCAGCTCTGCGGGAGACCCTGGCGGGCGGCCCCCTCGCAGATACAAACCCAGAATGTGCCTGGTTTACACAGGTGCAGCTTTGCCAGCACTGCACCCCAGCAATTCCAAGAACTGGACTCAAGCCACAGACCTCCCGAGTCTTGGGTGCATGGAGCTAACAGACACTAGGCTGGGAACAAAGGCAGAGGACAGCAAACGCTGAATGAAGACGAGAGGAATATCCCCCACACAAAAGGAACCAGGAGAAAGGAAGGCATGTGTATAAGAGTAGTGAATCCTCTGGTGCTTTTTACTACAATCACCCAATCACTTACACTGAGACAATTAGGTCTGTCCCCTAACAAAGCAGCCACTACTGTCAGCAGTTAAACTATCAGTATAAGATACAACTGCTTCCCTCTTGCAACCTCCAGTGGCCCTCTGTATTCCTTCACTTTAATAATGCTGAACTGGTGAATTTCTTCAGTCATCTTTATGGCAGGAAGCTTGTATTATATTATATTGTACAAAGGCATGTCTGCTCCAGGGTTGTACCTTTGAAATAGAGGCTGCTTCATGAGCAGATGATATGCTAGACTATGCAACTCCCTCCCAAAGTCTGATTGGTGAGGAACTTCCTAAGTCAAATCAGGAGGAACTCTAAGTGCTTATACAACTTATTACAGAAGCAGGGTTCAAAACACTATTATTGTTTTTCTGCAGTGGTCTAATACAGAATGGAAGCATGATCTGTTTCTGAGTCAGCCAGGAGAGGTCACTGGAGAGCAAAGTAAGTTACTTCCAAATGCACACTTTTAATCATCATAACTGATATTTCACATCCATAGAACTGTTTCAGAGTAGCAGCCGTGTTAGTCTGTATTCGCAAAAAGAACAGGAGGACTAGTGGCACCTTAGAAACTAACCAATTTATTTGAGCATAAGCTTTCGTGAGCTACAGCTCACTTCATCCGATGAAGCTCACGAAAGCTCATGCTCAAATCAATTGGTTAGTCTCTAAGGTGCCACAAGTCCTCCTGTTCTTTCTTCATAGAACTGTACTGTTGAATAAAACAGATAGATAGTGAATATGTCAAACAGTGACAGGGTGACAACTTCTCCATCTCTCCGAATGCTCTCGACAGTAACTTACAAACTACAGACCATGCCCTTAAATAGGAGCACGTCTGGAAACTCCTTGTGGCTTAAAAACTCTGATCATCACAGGAATTCTGCAAATCAATTTACCAGCTGCGCCCTCACAATTATCACTGCACAAAACCATTTTTAGGGTGCGTTTCCAGACATACAAGAACAATTCGGCTGTGCAAACGCAAGCTACTTTTTAACCTCAGAAAAGAGTGAGCAAAGCAAGCTACCAAGAACAGAAGCTTTACCTTGTGCTTGTAGCCTTTTTCTTTTTGCTTCCCTCTTCTCCGAAGGACAGGTAGCTCTTCAAACTGATATCTGCCTTCAAAAAGTACAATAGCTTTTCCTGCAACCCAGGCTTTCTCAGAAGGATCTCCTAAGGCATCTACGTAGTACTCTCGATATGGTCTCCGATTGGAAACTATTTAAAGAAATTAAACAGGATTATTGTCTTGCTTAAAACAGCATACTAGTGTGGGAAAAGAAGCACAGAAAGTTTATTAATAGATTCTCCACACATTCTCCTAATAACATCTTCCCAAAATCCTAAACAAATGCCAGCTAGGGGAACTCCCAGTCAGAGAGTTGGTGGGTATGCTTTTGTCTTTAGTTTTCCTTGCTTTTAGTCGGTATGTTGCATCTTGGAGAGGAGTTTGCTGTTAAAAAGTTGATAGACAGTTTGCTTCCTCACTGGAGCAAAGACCTGGAGTTTGGTGAAAACAACCCAACCATCTCCCTCTGTGACAGGAAATTAATATAAAGTGCAACAAACTTAATTTTAATCCTCTTAACAATCACACTGTCCAGTCCTCTAGATCAGCAGTTCTCAAACTTTAGCAACCCAAGGACCCCCATTTTGATTTAAAATTTTTCACGGACCCTCAAGCCCCTGCTCAGCCGCAGGCCACACTAGGGTAGCCAACTTTCTAATTGCGCAAAACCAAACACCCTTGCCCCCCCTTTCCTAAAGGCCCCACTCCTTCTCTGAGGCCCCACCCCCACTCACTCCAGCCCCCCTCCTCCACCCTCACTCACTTTTCACTGGGATGGGGCAGGTGCAGGAAGGGGTGAGGGCTCCGGCTGGGGGTGTGGGCTCTGGGGTGGAGCTTGGGGTGCAGGAGGGAGCTCCAGGCTGGGGCCAAGGGCTTTGAAGTGCAGAAGCAGGCTCAGGGCTGGCGCAGGGGGCTGAGATGCGGAAGAGGGTTCTGGCTACAGCTGGGGGCGCAGGCTCTGGGGTGGGGCCTGGGATGAAGGGCTCTGGGTGCAGGTGGGGGGCTCTGGGCTGGGGTGAGGGATTTGGAGTGTGGGAAGGGGCTCGGGGCTCCACCCTATTCCCAGAAGCGGCAGCCATGTCCAGCTCCATGGTGCATGGAGCGGCCAGGGAGGCCCCGCACGCTGCCCTCGCGTCCCCAGGCACCACCTCTGCAGCTCCCATTGGCCACTGTTCCCCAAAGTGCAGGAGGCGCTGGGAGGGAGGGGGAGGAGTTGTTCAGCATGATCTGCGGACCCCAGTTTGAGAAACGCTGCTCTAGATGGTTGTGAAAACTGCGGGTAGGTGGGATGGAGATACACAGAAACTAGATACTTTGGATTCATTCACACATTTCCTCCATCTCCCGAACCCCCAGAGAGAAGAGCCCTGCTGTCTCTGTGCTGGAATCTGGGAGAGGAAACCCCCAAACATCATCCTAGGCCTTAATTTCCAGCTTGTTCAGCAGATCATTGCCTGATACTGAACATCTATCCTGGACTCAGAACGGTGGCGACGACAGGTGTAGGAATCTAAGGAGCAGAATAACAAGGTGTTCCAGCTAGTCCTTACTCTGAGTGTGCATGAAATCTCTGAGATGTTGCACAGTTATACTGGATACCTGCATGCTCAGGGGGCACTGGGAGCCCCAGGCAAAGGCAGGACTCCACCACAAGCATGGATCTGGAAACTTGTGACTGCTTAAAAGGTGTTTTCTTGATAAGGGCATTCAGTGAGCTCAGCAGGGTGAAGGAATGAGAGGAATTGTAACGTTGGGCTACATGGCATGCTGAAAGGGAATCCTGTGTGCTTGTGAAAGGTGTTGGACTGAGGGCAATAGAACAAATGTTACAGGCCTCTTCCCCACACTGTCCCACCAGCATATCTCCACCCTGTTCCGCAGGGACCGCCACTACCGGTGACAGGGCAGTTCAGTCTCCATGGGCAATTCAGTCCTTGGCTTCTCTGCTGAGACTGCCAAGACCAGTGCCACTCCCCACGGTGTTCTAGAGATATGGGCATCGAGGATTAGACTGAGACCACCCACTCACTTACCAGATAGGACACAGTACAGCACTCAGAACATGGTACAGCATAAAGACTTTTGGCAAATACTGACCTGACCTAGTGTCAGGCCAAAGAGAGGCAAAAGATTGCAACATATCCTATTCCCAATCCCTGAACCAGCCAGTCTCACTGAGGAGAGGAAAACCGCTTTAAACAAATCACTACGTCACAGACGAGACAAGCCCTCTGGTAAGTGATGGGTTTGAACCAACCTGCCTGGCTTTGAACAACCCAGTGTTTGTTTCCATAACAAGTGCAGGGAGTAACAGCCAGGTGGGAGAACTTGTACGTTTCAGAAGTAGGTGGACAATGCTGGAAATTCCATTTGCCCAATAGCATCAAAGACCTAAGGTTTAATTGGTGCCTAAAGTCGTTTAATTAGGGAAGGAGACAGAGCAAAATGGGGCGGGGAGGGGAGGAACCAGGGAAAGAAAGATTTCTTCCACACCTGTTCTGATCTGAACAGGAGCAGAACGTGCAGGGAGGGCTGTGGTCTGAGATTATCTAGGACAAGCACATCAGTTGGACCGTGTTAACCAGCATATTACCTCCATTCCAAATTCGCATTTTAGAAGTAATTGCACACAGCTGTAAGCTGACTGGGAAACAACCATTCCCACTAGATGCAGCCAATAATGGAAAATGCCCATTACACGCTCTCAGGAGGTGTCACAGTAGCCAGAGTATGACATTTAAAAAAGAACGTAACAGTCACACCGGGTCAGCCCAATGGTCCACCCAGCCCAGTGTCCTGTCTGCCAACAGCAGCCAGTGCCAGACACCCAGAGGGAATGAACAGAACAGGCAATCACAGAGTGATCCATCCCCGCCATCCACTCCCAGCATCAGGCAGAGTCTTAGGGATACCCTGACCATCCTGGCTAATAGTGATTGATAAATCTATCCTGCAGGAACTTATCGAAATCTTTTTTGAGCCCATTTATGCTTTTGGCCTTCACAACATCCCCTGGCCATGAGTTCTTCACACAACGCACAGTCAGCCTGTGGAAGTGTTTCCTTCCGTTTCCCTCAAACCTGTTACCTATTCACTTTATTGGGTGACCCCAGGGTCTTGTGTTATCGGAAGGGGCAAATGACACTTTCTCTAAGTCATTCATGATTTATAGACCGCTCTCATCTCCCCCCGAGTCGTCTCTTTTCTAAGTTGAACAGGCCCAGTCTGTTTAATCTCTCCTCATGTGGAAGCTGTTCCATCCCCCTCATCATTTTTGTTGCCCTTCTCTATATTATTTCCAATTCTACAATATATTTTTGAGACGGGGCAAAGAGAACTCGCACAGTATTCAAGGTGTGGGTGTACCATGGATTTACGAAGTGGCGTTATTATATTTACTGTCTTCTTATCTCTTTCCTAATGGTTCCTAACATTCTCTAGCTGTTTTGACTGCTGCTGCACATTGAGTGAGTGTTTTCAGAGAACTATCCACAAGGACTTCAAGATCTCTTTCTTCAACCCATGTATAGTTGGGATGCATTCCAATGTGCATTACTTTCATAGAATCATAGGACTGGAAGGAACCTCAAGAGATCATCAAGTCCAGTCCCCTGCACTCATGGCAGGATTTTTGTATTTATCAACACTGAATTTCATCTGCCATTTCATTGCCCAATCACCCAGTTTTGTGAGATCCCTTTGTAACACTTCCCAGTCAGCTTTGGACTTAACTATCTTCAGTAACTTTGTATCATCTGCAAACTCTTCCATGTCACTGTTCACCCCATGTTTCAGATGATTTATTAATATGCTGAACAGTACAGATCCCTAGGGAACCTATACTGTTCAACATATTCAAAAATTTATGGATAATAGGTTCCACAATGGCTATGAGCCAGGATAATAAGGGATGAAACCCCATGTTCCAGGTGTCCCCATTCTGAAAACTGACCATTTATTTCTACCCTTTGTTTCCTGTCTTTTAACCAGTTACTGATCCATGAGAGGACCTTCCCTCTTATCCCATGACTGATTATTTTGATAAGAGTCCTTTGTGAGGGACCTTGTCAAAGGCTTTCGGAAAGTCCAGGTACACTATATCCACTGGACTCCCCTTGTCAACGTGTTTGTTGACCCCCCCCAAAGAATTCTAATAGATTGGTGAGGCATGATTTCCCTTTACAAAAGCCCTGTTGACTCTTTCCCAACATACTGTATTCATCTGTATGTTACTACAGTTAAGCTTACTGGCCTGTAATTGACAGGATTGCCTCGTTAGCCTTTTTAAAATATTGGTGTCATGTTATATCCTCCAGTGACCCAATAGAGATGCTGATTTAAATGACAGGTTACATACCACAGTTAGTAGTTCTGCAATTTCATATTTGAATTTCTTTAGAATACTTGAGTGATACCATGTGGTCCTGGGGACTTATTACTGTCTAATTTATCAATTTGTTCCAAACCCTCCTCTACTGATACCTCAATCTGGGACAGCTCCTTAGATCTGTCACCTAAAAAGAATGGCTCAGCTGTGGGAATCTCCCCCACATCCTTTGCTGCAAAGACAGAGCCAAAGAATTCATTTAGCTTCTCCGCAATGGCCTTGGGTCTTCACAGAGAGCCCTTTCGGCGCTTTGTCCAGTGGCCCCACTGACGTTTTTCGGTTTCTGAAGGACTTAAATAAATTTTGCTGTTAGTTTTTGAGTCTTTTGCTCGTTGCTCTTCAAATTCAGTTTTGGCCTGACCAATTATATTTTTACATTGACTCGCCAGAGTTCATGCTGCTTTCCATTTTCCTCAGCAGGGCCTGGCTTCCCATTTTAAAACGGCGCCTTTTTTCCCTCTAACCCCCTCTTTCATTCTGGTTTGCCATGGTGGCATTTTTTTGGTCCTCTTTTTTTTTTTTTTTTAAACTTGGAATATATATGTAGTTTGAGCCTCCGTTATGGTTTTATAAAACGTTTCCATGCAGCTTGCAGGCATTTCACTCTTGTGACTGTTCCTTTTCATTTCCATTTAACTAGCTTCCTCCTTTTTCTGTAGCTCCCCTTCTTAAAGTTAAATGTTACTGCGGTGGGCTTCTTTGGAATCCCCCCCCACCCACAAGGATGTTGAATTGAATCACATTATGGCCACTATTACCATA